AAGACCAGGGGCTGTTACAGGTTTTGTAAAGAAAGCTGTAGCCAGTACTACCCAGTCCCAGTAACCCATGTGTCGGCTGTGTGGGAACGGTGTGTTTTCTGAGAGACTTTGTCATCTGTCACTCCTACGAGGTGAGACAGTTGTGTGTTACTACTGGCAAGAGCAGTGTGTCTTGAGGTGAGTTTTGTTCTCATAAGAAATCTGTAGAATTGGCCTCTTCAAGTACTGTGTGAGTGTCAATGCGGATGGTCTGTCTGCATAGGATTGTTCACTCCTGTTAAACCGTCTGATGTTTTTGCCAGTTAAATTACGTCTTCTGCTTGTTACAGATGGATCAGGGAATGGACTTGTTCTGAACGTTACTTTTCTTAACGCTTGTCTTATGTATGTTGTGTCTTCCTATTTCAAGGTGTGTCGGAGACCCCACCTGTGGAGCTGGGTGTTGCTTCTTGCCACTGTTTTGGATGGACAGGGTTCATCAGACCTGCCTCACTGATGCTCTACAGTTAGTTTTTATTGTTTTCCTTTTGAAGAAAGCATTTAAAAAATTTTGTTCCACTGTGTTCAGTCCTTTGCTTTCCCACCTGAAGTTCTCTGCTCCATGTATGGCATGACTTCTCACTTCCTCCTTTGCCTTCTTAGATGGACTCACTGAACGTTGCTGTAGTTTCTCCTTCACTGCTACTTGTGTTAAGTGAAACGGTCCTTTGTAATGACAGTGTAGCGGCACCTACCTGGTCTGTCTTTCCTGCCTTAGATCTAGATGGCTAGTGTTTGAAAATGGGAATGGATGTTTGTATCCCTGTCCGGGCTCTGATGGTGTCAAAGGACAGATTATTCAAAGTTGCTTGTTGGTTTTAGGGTGAGCTTATCCTCTGAGTTTTCCAGAGATTGAGCATTCTATTCCCAGGAGGTTTGTGGAAAAAAACGTGTCTTTGCAGAAATGCATGGTTGATCTGCCGGTCACAGGGATAAAGATCAAGGTAACCGTCAAACCCTAAGCTGTGCCTGCTTTTGTGCATTTGGCCATTCGTTCTCTGGTGATTCTTTGTCTTTTAATTTCCTTTCTTGTCCTCAATTGCTTGTGCTTAGTTGTCATGACTGAGAAAATGGTAAGATGCCTATTCCAAAACAGGGTAAGAAGTTTTCATAGAGGAGGAAGAAAAAAAAAATCAAAAAATCAACTGGTCCTCTTGTGTTCACATCCTGTTTTTTGTACTGGTTACTTGGAATGAGTTCAGAAGCTTTCTATGTACTCTAAGAGAGTTAGAAAATGGCCCCTTAAGTATACTAAGGCCAGGAGGAGTCCAAAATGTGGGCCTGACTCTGAGAGAATGTAGGACTGATTATGAGTAGTAGCCTAATGAGTACTAACTGGCCTATGTTCTTGATCTTGCAGGATGGGGTACAAAAGGTGGTGCAGTCTGAGGTGACTGTGGGACTACCTGCTGCAGGCTGTTGGAGATGAATCTTTTGTCTTGGAACTAAATGAGACTAGATTACATACTGTAAGATTGTGGTCTAGGTAGTTAATGCTGGGTAAGACCCGAGAAACTTGATTTGGTGTTTAGCATGCCAGCTGCTAAAGTTCTTCCTTCTGCCTGCCTCTGTTCCTTTCTCCCTCCCTCCTCCTCCTGCCTTCCCTCAGTCTTGCAAATAGCCAGGCGTAGCATTGAACCCAAGATCTGCATCCTGAAAAAGGGGTCCTTTTTGCTGTGGAAATTTCCAAGCGTCAGGATATGCTTGGGTGATTTATCGTACAGTAGCGAAACCCTGCAGATCCTGCTGATATTGCATCCTCAAAGCCAGCTCTTTCTTTTGTGACTGAAAGTAAGTTTGTTGTGATATGATACTTATTGTATTGAGGGGACCCGCTGCCGTGAGTGGCGCTTAGCTGCTCCCCGGCAGGTGGCTTGGTACGGCAGCTTGCATACGGCAAGCCATGGCAACTGTTTCTTCTCTTTTTGAGTCCTGACAGGAAAGGTGAGGGCTGTGCACTGGGACAGAGCACGTGCAGGTAGAGGCCTTACCTCTTTGGAGAGAGGACTCATCAAGGCACTGAACAGAAGCGAGAACATTTGGATAGCATCTTCCCCTGTAGAAACGCACCCTCTCCTTCCGTGCCCCTCTTGTCAGAAGGCCGCGGTCATGGTGGTTGTGTGTCAGCGGTTGCCCATATCTGATACGGCGTTCTTTGGTCACATGCTGATTTCATCAGATTCGCACAAAACGACCTAAATTTCAAAGTTCCAAAACATAGAACTCCTGTAAGGTGAAAATTTGGGGTATGAAATGGCATGGAGGCCCCTGGAGGGCCACGCTTCTGTTTCTGCTGCAGTCATTCCTTTTCTGGAGCACGTCTCCTCAGAAAAGCAGTATTGTCGCAGTGAGTTGCTGAGTCTAAAATCTGTTCGCCAAAGCTGGGCCTGGTGGTTATCCCAGGGGGCTGTGATTTACATGGGATTCTGGATTAGATCGGGGGTTACCTAGAGCTGTGCTTACATCTATTTAATGGGGAAAAATGCTCTGATTTTGGCTGTTTTCTTCTCCCGCTCCTTGAGCATCCCATTACTGCTCACACCTTGCTTTCGATCTACAGAATTGCAGTACTCCCTGCCCCCTCCCTCCTCGCC